GCATAAGAATGCAAGTTCAGAAGGTTTTCGAGTTAGGACGGATGGCAAGCCGTTAATGGACGTCATTTTCGCCAAGGCAATGCGGCTGCTGTTTCCACCGTCGCAGCAGCATGCTGTGTTTCGCCGTCAATGCAACGTCGCTGCTGTTCACGTCATCAATGCAACACGTAGCCGCTGTTTTCCGCCATTAAAGCAAGGTTGTTGCGGCGAAGGTCCTGCTCCTTCCACCTACGACGCGACGTCGCTGCTGTCCCTGCCGTAAAAAAAGATATTCTCTGCCATTTCCGACGTCCAAGAAACTTTGCTGTTGTTTCCTTCGTCAACGCAACGTCGCTGCTATTTCCACTGTCAAAGCGACGTCACTACTGCTTCCGCCAACAAAACAACGTTACAGCCGTTCTCGCCTTCAAAGCGACGGAGCTGCTGTTTCCGCTGTCACACGAGGATTGAAGACCTTGCTTGGCCTTGTAAGTGCGATGGGAAGAGCTTCTTGGGGGGCGAGCAGATTTAGCAGGTCGCAAGAGTCTCAGTTTGACGTCCCTTGCCTGAGTCCGCTCCCAATTCAAACCGTGATGACTTTTGAGTCGACTCAAAAGTCAAAAGTCACCTCTTTTGAGTCGACGCAAGAGTCTCAGTTTGACGTCCCTTGCCTGAGTCCGCTCCCAATTCAAACCGTGGTGACTTTTGAGTCGACTCAAAAGTCAAAAGTCACCTCTTTTGAGTCGACGCAAGAGTCTCAATTTGACGTCCCTTGCCTGAGTCCGCTCCCAGTTCATACCGTTACTAACCAACTGTTTCTTCTTGCCTCTGTTTCTGTTTATGACATGCACCCGTGCGTCTCCGCACGTGTCTGCCTCATGGCCTCCGAGCCTGCGCGTGAGTGGCCGTGTGACGCATCAGTGTGCAGCGTCAGTGCGTTTCAGGAGCATTTTAAAGGCAGCGACTCTGCGCTGCGGCGATTGGGACGAGAGCAACGACCGCAGCAGCAGCAGCAGCAGCAGCAGCAACCGAGCAGCCTGGAGCAGCACGCCTGAAGCCAAGGAGCGGCAGAACGGCAGAGCAGCGGGCGGAGCGTGGTACGTGCCAGGGGGGCTGCTTCCAGGGGGGCAGTGAAATGAGTCGTAGGGCGTCGCCGCGCAGAGGCAAGAGTCGTGTCTGTCGTTTGCAGCTTTACTACTCTCCACCTGCTGTGTCTGACCCTCCCTTGTTGCACCGCTTTTTTGTGCGTGTCTCTCTCCCCATGCGTGTGTGTGCCTCATGGCCTGCGAGACGGACGGGAATGGCAACGAGTGGACGGGGAACGGACAGGATTTCTGTTGCTGGCTAGCACGAGAGACAACCTGGAGAAGCACGCCTCAAGTGAAGGCGTGGCGCAGGAGTGGGAGAGCAGCAGAGTGGGAGAGCAGCAGAGTGGGAGAGCGGCGGGCAAAGCGTGGTACATGCCAGGGGGTTCATGCGGGGGGGCAGTGAAGTGATTTGTAAGGCGTCGCCGCGCAGAGGCAAGAGTTGTGTCTGTTGCTTTTGCGCTCGCCACTTGCCTCTTGTTGTTTCTGACCTTCCCTTGTTGCGCTGCTTCTGTGTGGCTATCACTCTCCCCATGCGTGAGTGTGCCTTACGGCCTGCGAGATGGACGGGAATGGCAGCAAGTCAACGGGGAATGGACGGGCTTCCGTTGCTGGCTAGCACGAGAGACAACCTGGAGAAGCACGCCTCAGGAGTGGCGCAGGAGTGGGAGAGTAGCAGAGTGGGAGAGTAGCAGAGTGGGAGAGCAGAGTGGGAGAGCAGCAGAGTGGGAGAGCGGCAGACAAAGCGTGGTACGTGCCAGGGGGTTCATGCGGGGGGGCAGTGAAGTGAGTTGTAGGGCATCGCCGCGCAGAGGCAAGAGTCGTTTCTCATACTTTTGCGCCTGCCACTCGCCTCTTGCTGTTTCTAACCATCCCTTGTTGCATCGCTTCTGTGTCGCTGTTCCTCTCCCCATGTGTGTGTGTGCCTTATGGCCTGCAAGACGGAGGGGAATGTCAGCGAGAGGACGGCGAATGATGGGGCTTTCATTGCTGGCTCGCACGAGAGGAAACCTGGAGCAGCACGCCTGAAGTGAAGGCGTGGTGGAGGAGTGGGATAGCAGCGGACGAGCGCGGTACGTGCCACGGGATGCTTGCATGGGGGTAGTGAAGTGAGTCGTAGGGCGTCGCCGCGCAGAGGCAAGAGTCGTGTCTGTTGCTTTTGCCTCTGTCACTTGCCTTTTGCTGTTTCTAACCCTCCCTTGTTGCATCGCTTCTGCATGGCTGTGTCTCTCTCCCCATGCGTGTGTGTGCCTCACGGCCTGCAAGGCGGAGGGCTATGGCAGCGAGTGGACGGGGAATGGACGGAGCTTCTGTTGCTCGCTCGCAAGAGAGAGAGCCTGGAGCAGCACGCCTAAGTGAAGGCACGGCGCAAGAGCGGGAAAGTGGCGGACAAAGCATGGTACGTGGCAGGGGCTGCTTGGAGGGGGGCAGTCTAGTGAGTCCAAGAGCGTCGCCGCGCAGAGGCAACAGTCGTGTCTCTTGCCCTTGCCTCCACCACCCACATCTTGCTGTTTCTAACCCTCACTTGATGTGTCGTTTCTGTGTGGCTGTCTTTCTCCCCATGCGTGTGTGTGCCTCACGCCCTGCAAGACGGACGCGGAATGGCAGCAAGTGGACGGGGAACGGGCGGGTTGCCGATGCTGCCGATGCTGGGTGGCACAAGAGACGGCCTCTAGTCAGCCTTCCCAGCGAGGAGAAGTGAAAGCACGGCGCAGTGCGACGAATGGAACATGGTACGTGTCAGGGGGTGCTTGCAGGGGGGACGTGTAGCGAGTCGCCGCGCAGAGGCAAGAGTCGTGTCTATTGCCCTTGCCCCCGCTGCTCGCCTCCTCTCGTGCTGCTCCTAATCCTTCCTTTTGCTCTGCTTCTGTGTGCGGAATGGCATGGACAGGGCTTCCGTTGCAGGCTCGCACGAGAGACAACCGTTCAGCGAGGAGAAGGGGCAGCAACGCCACATTGGCGCGTCAAAGGCACGCACACGGTGGCGGTCGCGTGGTACGTGCCAGGGAGCACTTGCAGGGGGCACTGAAGTGAGTCGTAGGGCGTCGCCGCGCAGAGGCAAAAGTCGTGTCTCTTGCCCTTCCCTCCACCACTCTCCTGTTGCTGCTTCTGACCCTCTCTTTTTGCACCGTTTATGTGTTTGTGTGCCTCTTTCTCCCCGTGTATGTGTGTGCCTCATGGTCGCGAGATGGACGGGAAATGGGCGGTCTTCCGTTGCTGGCTTGCACGAGAGACAGCCAGGAAGAGCCCTCCTCAAGTGAAGGCATGGCGCAGGAGTGGGAGAGCATGGTATGTGCCAGGGGTTGCTTGCAGGGAGGCATTGTAGTGAGTCGTAGAGCGTCGCCGCGCAGAGGCAAGAGTCGTGTCTTTCGTCCTTGCCTCCGCCACTCTCCTGTGTTGCTGTTTCTAACCCTCCCTTGTTGCATACGTTCTTTGTGGCTACCTCTCTCCCGATGTGTGTGTATGATGGACGGGAATAGCAGCAAGTGGACGGGGAACGGACTGGACTTCCGTTGCTGGCTCGCACGAGAGACAATGAGGAGCAGCACGGGTGAAGTGAAGGCGTGGCGCAGGAGTGGGAGAGCAGTAGACGGAGCGTGGTATGTGCCAGGGGGTGCTTGCAGGGGGGCCGTGAAGAGATTCATAGGGCGTCGCCGCGCAGAGGCAAGAGTCGTGTCTGTTGCCCTTGCCTCCACCACTCGCCTCCTCTCCTGTCGCGTCTAACCCTCCCTTGTTCCGCTGTTTCTGTCTGCATGAGCCCCTCCCCTCGTGTGTGTGTGCCTCATGGCCTGTGAGACGGAGAGGAATGGCAGGGAGTGGACGGGAAGTGACAAGCGTGCGGGTCTCGTTCCTGCCCGAGACACGGCAGCAGCTTTGGTAAATGCAGCACTGGTGAATTCAGCAGAGCTGGTGAGTTGAAAGTGCAGTAGCAACAGCGCCTTGACTTTTCAGCCAAGTATTTTCTCCTCCGAACGCTTTGCCTTTTGTGGAGCCAAGCGCTCATCGCTTGTATTGCATGTGCTTCACTGCTTTCTCCTCTGAACTCTTCCCAGGTTCCTTTTGGCCCAACTCACAAGCCACAGCCCCTTCTTATTGCAGGTATCAGCAGCAGACAACCAGCAACATGGAGCAGCAACGTCTGAAGTCTGGAGCACGGGCCGCAACAGAGGGCTGTGCTGCTTGGGGCGAATGTGTGGCGCAGGAGCGGCAGGCTCTGCCAAGGAGGAGAAGTGGTACGTGCCAGGGGGTGCTTGCGGGGGGGCCGTGAAATGAGTCGTAGGGCGTCGCCGCGCAGAGGCAAGAGTCGTGTCTGTTGTTCTTGTCTTTGCCACTCGCCTCCTCTCCTGCTGCTCCTAACCCTCCCTTGTTGAGCCGCGTCTGTGTGCCTGTCTCTCTCTCTCCCCATGCGTGTGTGCCTCACGTCCTGCGAGACGGACTGGAATGGCAGCAAGTGGACGGGGACTGTGCATGGGCGTGTGGGGGGAAGGGGTAGGGGGGGTAGGGGTGTGCATGTGTGCGTGTGCGTGTGCGTGTGTGCATGCCTGTGTGTGCCTCTCAGCCTTCAAGCTCTGGAGTGTGGCGGACTGCTCTTGTGAACCTGCCTGCCCATCGGTGGAGACAACAAGATTCTCTCTCTTTCACCGCAAGAGGTAAATGCAGCAGCAGGGTGAATTCACCGTGCGTTGCTTTTTGTCCTTGTCCCTTCTCCAGCTAGCATCTGCTCTTTCACATCCTCACGCCTCTCTTCCTCTTCCTTGCCGCCCTTCTCCTCTCACCTCCAGCACTCAAAGGGGCACTGGCCGCAGCAACTCAGGGGTCACCAGTGGCTGCAGCAACTCAGGGATCACCAGTGGCCGCAGAGTCTGCAGCGCCATGGCAAGGACACAAGAAGTTGTGAGTGGATCAGGACAAGCAGTGTGCATTTCACGTTTCTCCATGTTCCTGCATTCTGTGTTCCGGCTCTCTTGTCTACCACTCTTCCACGGTGCCCACGAGTCTTTGCAGCTGTGCTGCCATGTCTTCATGCCACTCTTCTCAACTCCCAAACCTCTCGTCTCCTGTCCTCTCCTCTTCTCTGCAGCAACGCGGCGGGGGTCGCGACGAGAGCAACAACTGCAGCAGCAGCAGCAGCAGCAGCAGCAGCAGCAGCAGCAGCAGCAGCAGCCGCAGCAGCAGCAGCAGCAGCAGCAGCAGCAGCAGACGACTACGAGCACCGGGAGCACGGGCAGCAGCAGCAGCAGCAGCAGCAGCAGCAGCAGCAGACGACTACGAGCACTGGGAGCACGGGCAGCAGCAGCAGCAGACGACTACGAGCACCGGGAGCACGGGCAGCAGCAGCAGCAGATGACTACGAGCACCGGGAGCACGGGCAGCAGCAGCAGCAGCAGCAGCAGCAGCAGCAGCAGCAGCAGCAGCAGCAGCAGCAGCAGCAGCAGCAGCAGCAGCAGCAGCAGCAGCAGCAGCAGCAGCAGCAGCAGCAGCAGCAGCAGTAGCAGCAGCAGCATCAGCAGCAGCAGCAGCAGACGACTACGAGCACTGGGAGCACGGGCAGCAGCAGGGAGCTGCTCGGGGCGAATGCTTGGTGCAGCAGCAACAGAGCAGCCTGGAGCAGCACACAGGCGTGGTGCAGGAGGCACAGCGGCCGAGCGCCAAAGCGGCAGACGGAGCGTGGTACGTGCCAGGGGGTGCTTGCAGGGGGGCCGTGAAGTGAGTCGTGGGTGTCGCCGCGCAGAGGCAAGAGTCGTGTCTGTTGCCGTTGCCTCCACAACTTGTCTCCTGCTGCTTCTAATCCTCCCGTGTTCCGTCGCTGTTGTGTGGCTGCCTGTCTCTCTCCCCGTGCGTGTGCCTGCCTTACGGCCTGCGAGATGGGGGGAAGCGGCAGCGAGTGGACGCCAGTGGCTGCAGCAACTCAGGGGTCACGAGTGGCTGCAACATCTGCGGGACGATGGCAAGGACACAGTGAGTTCTGAGTGGATCAGATCAAGCAGTATACCTCTACTCCTTTCACAGTTTTCCTGCTTTCTGCATGCCGTTCTGCCTTGCCTACTTTCTTTCCACGATGCCCATTTGTCTTTGCTGCTGCTGTGTTGCCAGATGCTCATGCCACTTGTCTCAGATCCCAAACCCCTCGTCTCCTTTCCCCTCCTCTTCTCTGCGCTCATGCAGGAGAGCAGGAGAGCAGGAGAGCAGCATCTTTTATCTAGAACCAGCACCATGTGCAGCCGCATGGCAGCAGCACCATGTGCAGCCGCATGGCAGCAGCACCATGTGCAGCCGCATGGCAGCAGCACCATGTGCAGCCGCATGGCAGCAGCAGCAGCACTGGTGCCAGCAGCAGTGGTTGCTGCGGCAGCAGTGGAGGAGTGAGCAGCAGCGAAGTGCTGCACCTCTTGTCCAGAGCCAGCAGCAAGGGCAGCAGTGGCGCCAGCGGTGCCAGTGGTGGCAGCGTGTGTTGTAACATCGATTGCAGCTGCAGTGGTGGCTGCAGCACCAATCCAAGAGTGAGTACACCTTACCCGAGTGCAACCGAGTTCCCTCTCAAGTTGGTTGTTCAGTGTCGCCTGCATTCTTGTCAGCTGCATACAGTTCTCTATGGTCTTTCCACTGTTTTTTTCTCCATCCTTGTCCTCAAGCGGCCCGTCCTCTTGTCTTTCTGAACCAAATTGTTTTCTGCCCTCGCCTCCCTTCCCTCTCCATGTCCCATTGCTCTCCTCCATGTCTCGGGCAGCAGCTGTGGGGGGAGCAGTGGCAGCAACAGCAGTGCTGCGTATTGTTCATGGTAGGTGAGATGGGAGGTTCTGCTGCCTCTGCTATCGTACATTTGTCGATCACCTTGCTTGCTCCACAATGGCGATCTGCCATGAACCTAGTACACTATTTATGTTGTACTTTCTGCTTATGTCTGGTCTAATTCAAACAGGAAATACACCATGAAACCATCTTTTTTTCATTCCTATTCCCTCCCTTCTGTCTGCCCCATTGCTGCCCCATTTGCAGCTTGTAAGTGTTCAAAGTGTCTCTGCTGTGGTGATACCATATGGAGGCAAGATACGGTCGAAGGCATGAGCAGCTTGTGTCCCTAGGCTATGATCTGCTTAGTAATGCGTTGCTGTTCTTAGGTGTGCTCAGATACCTATGTTGCGCTGTGCGATTGTGGGTGGGATGGGCCTGCATGTTGCAGAATTCGTGGGTGGGATGGGGTGCACACTGGGTTGCCTGGAAGGCGCCAAGGCACAAACAAACACTCATGCAGGGCGGAGAATCCTCCTGCAGCATGTGCTGTGTGACTACATGATGACATGACATGCCTGCTGCTGCGCCGCGGCATGCAGAGGACTTGACTGCTACAGGCCAAGCCCTCGGTCACGGCCCTGAGAGTGAGGTGAAGCTGGCATGAGAGGCACACGGCCCTATTGAGGTACATGTGACAGTGCAGGGCACGTGTATGCATACATGCACACACGTAACAAGCACCTCGCGAGGAGAGACAAAAACCTTCTGACACATAAGCACCATGGCAGGGACTGACAAAAGCAGGGGAGTTCCACTTTTGGAACTAAGTTAGTAAAGCCATAGATTGAGTTTAGTACGACAACAGCAGAATCCGAACACCCCATGCCACAATGCTGCTGCTGTGACAACAGCCTTGCACTGGCTACAGCAAGAACATGGAAGGAACCCATGACTGGACTGGACTGTCGGATGCAGTGCAGTGACGCCTTGTTCTCTTCGCTTGCTTGCTTATTGACATGACTGAACTGCCCCTGACAAGCAAGCTTTCCTATGTGGGCCGAGACATTGCTGCATCTGCAGCTGCCATGGCACACTCACCAACCAACCGACCAACCCAGCCAACCGTAAACGCCTCCTTGACCATTTGCACTGCACATTTGAACCATGATCTCAGCAACTGTGGTTTCAGGACAGCATGACATTCTCTAACTACCTAGACAAAGGGTCTTCTCTTCTTCCTCCCGTGCCAGTAGCAGTTCCTCATGGCAAAACTGCGACTACCGTACTAAAACTATGATCCATGGCATGCCGTGAATGATCAGTTGCTGGGCAGAACGTTGGGCACTTTCAGGAATGGCCCGTCCATCTTGGGTACTTGGCTCAGCATTTCCTCCCTGCAGCCCAGACAGCCATGATCGTGTGTACAATTGAGAAAAACAACGGTATTCGGTTTGCAACAGCCTGGCAACCATATCGACACATGACTGGTTCCTAACACACTGGAGAAAGGCAAAAGATTGGTTTGTAGCAGCATGTGGTAAGAAAGTGGAGCTTCAGAAAGTGGTAAGCAGCATGTGGTAAGAAAGTGGAGCTTCAGAAAGTGGTAAGCAGCATGTGGTAAGAAAGTGGAGCTTCAGAAAGTGGTAAGCAGCATGTGGTAAGAAAGTGGAGCTTCAGAAAGTGGTAAGCAGCATGTGGTAAGAAAGTGGAGCGCGCTCCAGGCAGCTCAGTTACATGGAGTCGACTCTCACCTGTTTTCAAAATCGACGACGACATCCTCCCTCATGTTATCCGGCCGCAGCTCCTCCCCTCCTGGCGTTGACCATGGCATTGTTACGATCGGAGTGGGGTGGGATGTGGGAGTGGGAGGGACGTGGGTTGCAGGTGAACCGCTGGAAAAGGTCCAATGGTCAGGGTGACGGGTCAGGAGTCGGTAATTGGGGGTCCAGCCTCCAGGTCAGGGGTAAGGGGTCAGCAGCCAGGGATGGCATGGCATGGTTGTATTTTGCACAGTGGACCTGGACCATGCAGGCCATGGGGTTATGGGGGGTAGCCTTAGCGACACGAATGACAGCAGGCATATTTGAAAGGCTTTTTGAGGCGCCACAATAGTGTTCTGATTTGAGGCGACTCAAAGATGTAGCCTTACCAACGCGGATGGCTGCAGGCACGTCTGAAAGGTCCACCTGCTGTAGCTGCCCAAACCTGCCAGTGTTACAGGGGGTGTGTGAGTGAGGAGGGAATATGTGAGTGAGGAGGGAATGTGCGTGAGGAGGGAATATGTGAGTGAGGAGGGAATGTGCGTGAGGAGGGAATATGTGAGTGAGGAGGGATAATGTGAGTGAGGAGGGCATATGTGAGTGAGGAGGGTATACCGCAAGCAGGGTACTTGAGTGAGTGTAAACGTGTGAGGCAGAATGGGTAAGCGAGGAGAACCAATCACTGTACTTGTCGTTCTTACCAGTCTACTATGCGGGATATAGACTTGCCAAACTCCTCCTCCTGCCCACGCGAAAGCAAATTACATTTGAGACTCAGAGTGCACTTCAGACAAAATGCAAACGAGCCATCACCTGAATCCGGCAGCTCATCAGGTTTCAGCACCCACAATCCCTCCCCCTAGGTCCTTTTACATCCCCAACCGACCACCGCCCCCACCACACATCCCCGCCCCTTCCCCCCCCCCTCCCCTCCCCCGAGCACCTCTTCCGCCGACAACGCCAGCCGCGCCTTCAGGGCAAGGTCCTTCACATTCGGCTCCGCCTTTGCGGAAGCTTCCGCAGACGAGCTCTGGCAGCGCACCCCGCCCCGCGCAATCAACGCAGACAAATTATGCCCGCCATATCCGCTCGCCGCAATCAAGCCCCCTGGACACCTCTCTGGCGCGAATGCGGTCGCGCGGCGAGCACTTGCGGAGAAAGACGCGGAAGGTGGGAACAGGCGCGTCAGCTGGCGGTGCGCCGCGAAGCAGTGTTGAGCGACGGATTGCATGGCTGGCGGTAAGTGCGGCGCGGCTGGTTCAACTGTGGTCAGTGCGCGGGTGCGGTAAGTGCGCTGGTGCGTAAGTGTACGAGCGCGGTAAGCGCGCAAGTGCGGTAACTGTAGGGACCTCTACACAGAAGGCAACCTATGTTTGCTTGGCGCTGATTTGCCTGGTGCGTATAGAAGAACCGTTAAAACAATGCTCCCTACAAGTTGTTTGACCCTCGCTTATGCTAAAATTAATACAAATGTAACATTGCCGTGCCACGAATGCAATTATACATTCGCATCCAATAAATAGACAATAAGACAGACTAATTCGTCTCAACATCATCGTTTGCATTCCCAAGCTGCACAACAACGCTCCCACCTGCAAAATCAGAACAAATTTGGGTAAGAGTGAGTCTCACAATGATAGGTAGAGTCAGCGGAGGGTGATGAATGCACCAGCAAAGCATACATGGATTCCCTCTTACCAAAAATCATAGCTGCTCCAATATAGCTTAATGTGGTCCACTCTTCATGAAGAACAATTGTAGCCAAAACGGCGGAATAGAGCGGGTCGAGAGTGTATATCACTGCCGCATCAGACGCCGCCACATGCCGGAATGCCAAAATCTGGATAGCAACAACAACAGAACCCGGAATTTGTTAGCACAAACATCTCAAATTAGGTAGCCTAACGGTCACTCACACACATGAAGATTTTTGGGAATTCTCACCTCAAGCCAGAGGCAGAGTGCCGTAGAAACAATGCCAGTGTATGCCATTTGCAACC